CGGGTTGCCCACGGTTGGCTCTGGGCTGGCAGGCTTGGAGCTGCCATAGGCACTGTGGCCAGGGTCTACCCCTTAAATGGCTCTGGGGGCTAGGGGAGAGGAGATTAAGTTTCTTTTTTTTTTTTTTTTTTTTTATAGTTGTGAAGTTCATTTGATTAGCCCCAGTGTGGCCAACAGGGCTCCCTGGGAAGGGCTGGAGGCCCCTTATTTCGAATTAAGTGTCTACACAGCACTTAATTCAAAATAGCTATTTCGAATTTGGCGTTACTCCTCGTAGAATAAGGTTTACCAAATTCGAATTAAGTGCTCCGCTATTTCGAATTAATTTTGAAATAGCGGTTTGCATGTATAGATGCTATTTAAGTTAATTTGAAATAACAGCTGTTATTTCAAATTAACTTTGCAGTGTAGACATACCCTTAGTTCCTTTTAGCTTTGGGGCTGATTGTTCATAGCTGAAATTTACATGACTGTTCAGTTCTAGGAATGTAAGAATTGCTGTGTTGAATCATCTTGGGATCCTACCATCCCAGTAGCTGCATGAAATGCCACAACTGCTTGCTGAAGGGCAACCTGCCCCAAGGGAAAGTTTTCTCCCCAATAGAGAGAGGTTGTTTTATGCTCTGAAGCAAGAGAGCAATTTTACAAAACTCCTGAGATGAAATCCTGGTTCTAATGAAGCCAGTAGCAAAATTTCCATTGACTTCAGTAGGGCCAAACTTTCACCCCATGTAGGTTCTCCCCATCTTCTCCTCCTCCAATGCCCATTCTTCTTGTGACTTTGGATACACTTGTCACTAACTAGTTCACTCTGTCCCAGATGCAATCATGCCATCAACTGATTTTATTTTACTTGTTTTTTATTTAAGGAGTTTTGGATATGAAGACAGTTTTAGGTCATGAATTAAATGAGTATGGTGGTTTGATCTTTTCTTCAACCATCATTTATTCACATTTCCAATCCATAGTCTTTTGCAGTACCAGTGATTGGCCTCTTGTTGGAATAGCAGGAATTGGTGCAGGATAGGCATGTGTTGCAATAGACAAAAATGGATATAATGAGAAGAAAAATCTCTTCTCTTTCTTCACTGTTTGAAATGAGGGACAAGAAATTGGCAGGATAGCTGGAATTCATCTGTTTTTTGTTTTTCCTTTGAAATTGTAACAACTGTCACTATGCCTGGATCTGTCCTGCTATTTTAGCAGGACCTTGTGGGGGTATGGAGTTTTCTCATTTTGAGGTCAGGGGGCAGAGACACAATTACTAATTCCACATTGGTATACATTTTCAAAACAATAAGCAGGGATCTAGCTCTGTAGCTCCAGTCAAGGTAACTTGCCAAGTATGTTGCGCCTTTGGGTACGTCTAAACTACATGCCTCTGTCGGCAGAGGCATGTAGATTTGTTTTTTTGGCAAAGGCAAATGAAGCCGCGATTTAAATGATCGCAGCTTCATTTACATTTACATGGCTGCCGCGTTGAGCCGACAAACAGCTGATCAGCTGTTTGTCGGCTCGCACGCTAGTCTGGACCTTCCCCCTGTCGACATCAAAGCCCTTTGTCGGCAGCCCCGGTAAACCTCATTCCACGAGGAATAACGGGGCT